TAAGACAGTTACCGTAAGTTTTAATAAGGCGATTTTGAGAGCCGCTACCGGAATCATGATTTAGCTGGGCAGAGACAGTGGATGGATAAGATTCTCCATTGGAACAGTGTATACATATTGTATCATATGAATGCATTCTGACTTTACATTGCCGTTCAACCGGGATCCAATTTTTGCCTTTACTAAAATAATCTCACTTTTCTTCATGTTCCTTCCATGCAGCAATTTTCAGAGTAATCCTTTTCTGTTTATTCGATTTTTTATGTCTTCGAAACTCATGTAGACTAGGCTTTCGATAAGAATGCTCACCGACATTAAACCCCTTAATTTCGAGGTCACAGCACCGTTTCCTGCTTAGATTTTCAAGAACCTTATAAGTCGTGGCATTCTGCTTAAGCAGCGCATGGGCGTTGAAACGAACGTCGTGCGGAGTAAAATTTTCTAGTGAGAGCATTCTGCTGATGACCGATGCTAAATCATTGAGAATGTTCAAACAACCATTGGTTTATTAACAAGATATTTTTTCTTTTGTGCTCTTACCTATCTGATCTCACCACCAGTTAGTTTTAACAGTCTTTCGCTGAACATGCAAGTCACGAATCTAGATTACACGGTCCGATTTCGCGAATTACACAGCATACTTTTGTTGAATGTTGAATTATATGACAGGATCATTCAGAAAACCTGTTATGATAGTATATCAAAATTTTGACATCCAAATACAGATCATTAAACGAGAAGTTTAGAACAGTTGGTCTCGTTTTTAATTATCTAAATAATCTAAGCAATAATTAATAAGCATTGCGCAAAATTGTACCGTCATTTCGTCATTTGTTTCAAAGGCTGCAAGTTTGTGTTAGTCTTACTAGTATTTCAGAGACAACAATTAGTAATGTTTTACCTCAACAATAAGAAACATTTAATTCCAGTAGGAATTGCATGATGTATTACATTATGAAGAGATATTAATCGTAAACAAAATATCGGTCCATTTTATAACATACCCTGGCGACTTATTCATGACTGTTCAGAGTAACTGTGGCGAAATATAAAAAAAGATAATTGAATTCCATGAAAAATAAGTTGGGTCAGTTAGGCAGTTGGAAATAGCAGTACAGAAATAATTACTTTCTTCAACATAAGGCATTAGATACTGCCTGTAAAATTCACATACTTAAAATTTTATTTGCATTGGATCAAATTCAGAATCAAAAATGTAGCTACAAAGCAATCTATTATGTATCTCCTTTTCTGCTAAATTCATTTAATCTAATGCTGAAGTAATTCAGACAGAGCGAACAGTTTGCTTGATTCGCTTAGGTCTCTGCTACGACTACATTCACAAGAGAGACACGTGGAACTCAGCATTGGTATTGATGCATTAAATTATGAGATTCACATTTGGAATTGTTGCTAACGAAAATAGAGTCTTTCCATTTAGGTTACTAAGATTTATATACCATTATTTCATTTCCATCGAAAGTGAACCTTAAAACCACTTATATCTTCCTCATTTCTTGTCTGGCGAAACTGTGGTGCTTAAATTATAATGTCGTCATAAATCTTTTTTTGTCGCGATATATTTATTTATGTCGCGAAATTCACGGGCATTTATGTCTAGTTTCTTTCAGTAAACTAAAAAGCCATCATCGCGCAGACAGATTCCACATCATGATCATCATTTTCATATTTAGTTCAATTTCTGGAGTTGATTTCTGCAGCTGTTATGTTTCAAGAGGTAAATACGCAGAGGAAGGTGAGCTCGCAGAACATCTGTGTTAAATTTCAGAACGCCCGATCGATTTACCTAGCGCTTGAACGTTTTTTAATTTTGAAGCTGTTGAACTAATTGAAAGTAGCAAACCGCTGTCGTGAATTAAAGGTGCAGTCGCGTAGCCGATTCCGACGGTAATGAGTCATTGGTCAAATTTAAACAACTTCGATCGTCTGTGGTTTACACACTGCGGTTAATTCTACTCTGCTGCAAATTGAAAAGCGTTGCATAGCCTAGAACAGCTGACGATGAAACGCATTCGACAGCGACTCTGTTAATCCTCTGAAAAATGTTTCATGGACAAGTGTTGTTCTGATTTAAGGAAGCTTAAAACATTGGATTATGACAGTAATACAAAAAAACATGAAGCAATCTGCAGAACTTTCGATACTACTTCTGCAACGACTGCGACATCGTTCCAGAAAATGGGCGATGATCTAAGACCTCACAGATAGTTTCGACCCAAAAATAAAGCTGTATTCTATGTGTTTAAATTAAGAATCAGCGAGCGAAAATTTCTTCTGTGCATTCAGATTTTCAGTTTCATTCTTAAACGACAGGACACATTGATGCTGAGAAGATATTGTCAATTTTTCCAATTCCCCCACTTCTTAGCCTCCTGACAAGTCAAGGATGTTCATGATCGTTAGCACGAGGAAATGCTTGTCGCGGAACGGTTCTGTTCTACATCCTATTACAGGAAAACGGTCAAAAATCGAATGTTTATCTGGTTATTAACGGGATTTAAAATTGGGTAGTAATGGTTCATCAGATAAAGCAGTATTAGTATATAATGACTCACCACGTTTTAAGTAACGCATTTAAGTGAGGAGGACAGTGCTACGTCGAGAAATTTCTTTTTTACTAACAGCTGCTGCAGCCAAGGGGGAATAAAAAGTTTCTAACATTCCTTGCATTTCACGGTTGCTACAAATATTATGCAGTTCGATCTTATGATTAATGGTAATTACAATAGGAATAGAATACACAGAAAACTTGTTGAATCTGAGTTATACATATATATATCCATGATAATTCTAATCTGCTGCCGAAACTCACGAATTTTCAGGCGGCAATCAAAGTGATTGGGGTGGGAAGGAGGGCACTCTACGATTTCTGAAAGGCAGGTTCGAACACCGCCTTACATGTCGAGAATGCCTTTCAGCGATGGAAAAAACACTTTATGGAACTCCTTATGCCCAAAAATCCGCTGGAAACCCAGGGGAAAAGCCACAGATAAGAGTTGCTACATTTTAAGTTCAGGTTACCGCAGAAGCCGTAAAAGCTTGAAAATCGATAAGTCTGCTGACATGGATGAAATCCGAACTGACACTTTGAAGCGTCGTTTTGTCTAACAGCAGATTTTGAGAAATCTTGAGTGTTCGCTCATTGGTGCATATGAATGGTTCCGACAAGGATCCCTTGTAGGATCGGATCTCGTACAGCAGACTATGTGTGTGTGTGTGTGTATGTGTTGTGTGTGTGTGCGTTCGTACATATGTTCGGATCGATCGGCAATCATAATGAGCCATCGAGTCACTATATTTTAGCAGAAAGTGCTGCATCAGAGTAAATGGCGTCAAGTCGAAACGTGTATCGTTGGCCTTGATTTACGCAAAGAGCGTGCTGTGGTTCATTTCCTGCCTGTTTCGTTCGTTAATAAAATAAAGGCACAAAATGACAAGTTCAGCGACATAGCACGCGTAAAGGAGGGAAGTTTTCAGTTTACAGAAAACCTTTTTCTGTTAATGGTTTGAATCTGATCTGTAGACATATATGAAATGGCTTGAAACCGAAAGCAATGTGATATGCACGAATGCGAACGTGTATAATAGTGCTATTTCATTTTCCTGCAAGCTACGTTTTTAATATAAATAGAGAAGCGGTGGAATATGCGGAGACATTCATCTATCTTGCAGTCGTACAGTCGTTTTCATTGCTTGTGGAAAATTAAAGTTGGATAAGTATAAGAGAATTTGATTTGTCAACGGCATTCTATGTCAACTAAAGGGACTGTTGTGATAAAGGAAAACTGAGTTTGAAGACGAAGCAATCTTAAGGCGATGCTCATTTATGGTCATTAGTCGTGGACCATAATTGAAAATATTCAATAACGCGGTACAATGGCCCAATTGGGCTCGTTGAGACAGATTGCTTGAATCGTTTGTCTTGAAATGGTCGCAGGACAGATACCAGATCTTTGTGTGCAGTCGTTACTTCTTAAAATTGAAAAATCACAGCTTCCCTGTTTTTGGCACGCCTTGCGACTGATTGCAAGCAAGAAGACGATGCAGCATTTGAACCTACCGATGGAAGCCCAATGAACGGCTAAAAATGACCTTTGAATCGTTTTGACGCAGACTGGTCTATGCTCAGGTAATCTAATGCTAAAATTTAGTAACTGGCACAGAGCTGCGAGTGTTGGAGGAACTCTAACATTTGCAGCGTCCTGAAACGATAAGCAGTCGTCGAAGAAGAAATATGTTAATTATTGATTTTGCTTATTTAAATGTAAATTAATTTCAGTAGCAGCGGATGGGTTTAAATTATTTTTAATTGAAGTAAGTTTCAAACTTCGATTAATTTCAAACTGTTCTTTCGTATGCACCAGATGACAGCAATTGTTCCTATCTAATGTTACTGTATATTTTCATCAAAGATTTGCAAGTTGTATTCAGATATGTTCACACATCCTGCTAATCTTTTGCACGATATCTGAAATATAGTGTGAACGCTTAGTGACGTTTTGGAGTTCGTGTAATTTGTTATTGCTTCACGTAGTTTTGTGTCGATGCCTGTAGAAGATTAATAATGGCTGTGATTTAGGGTGAAGTATGCAACAAGAAGCTGCGAACGAAGCGGTCAAGGCACCGTCAGGTGATCAGAGTAAGCGAGAAGCAAAAAAAAACGGTTATTGCTTTTGATTCTAAACTCTTATTTTCTTTTTAGACCTGCCGGACAAGAAACTTCTTCAGGATCCGGCTGCATTGGCATCTGCCTTGCAAGATGCAGAAGGAATGGCAGTCGAAGAATTTGTGGATAGGTACGTTGAAAAAGCCAAGTTAAAATTCGAAATGTTCACAACTTGGCCATTGTTGATCACAGACATCTTAGTCTGACAGTAACAATGCTTTCGGCTGTATTCGTCGAATAATAATCAGAATCTAAGTAATTCTGTATTTTTTAAGTGAGACTATGAGTAATGCAAATGACTATTTTTTGTTGATTTGCTAAGAGGTTTTTGTTAGAATTCTGTCCACTGCTCCCAACCTTTCGAACATTTTCAACTTCAAATGCCTTAAATTCGCTTGATTGTTCTAAATGTTATATCATGATTATTATTAATATTATAATGCTTTGTCATATGTTATTAAACAGTTAAAATGAGTATGCACATGAATTTAACATAAGAAACGTTGTTTGCGAAAAGGCGATGCTCTGTTTCTTCGGAATCCTTGTTACACCATTTTGCTGTTGATTTGTTCCGTTCGTTTCAACAAGTCAGGTGCATAAAATTGAAGAGGTTCTAATGAAAAAGGTCAGTAACGTCTGACAAGTAAATTTTGATAGCTTCGGGCTTTCGAAAGCTCTTTATCGTTCTTCACTCTTAATGAGCTGGCAATATAGAACTGGATTTCGAATGACCTTGATGCGTTGAGGCCATCAGAATGGTGCCTAAGCATCGCGGCTTGGCAAATCCGTTGTTGCTTCCAGAGCGATGTTTAAGTTTGAACTTAAGTCGATCATTACAAAGTTTTATCTGGCTGACCAGCCGGCTTTCAGCTCCTCGGTTTCAGTTCTGCAGTTCTGCAACAAGAAACAAAAATATCTTCGCTGCAACGTGAGCCCCTTTTGATTTACCTCACATTCCTTTCCCATTTTTTTCTGGTGTAATGCGCCTTCGAAAGGGTTGGTTTTTTTCAGACCGTTCAGGAATTTGACAGCGGAGACTCACAGTCAACATTCTGAGCTGGCAGTTTTACTATTCATAGTTATTTAATCGTCGTTGGCATGTTAGCAATAGCAAATCCTGAAGTAAAAAGTGGGGATATATTAAACATTAATTTTTTGCCTATAATTATTGAATATTTCGTTTTGGTGGTCCTTCAGAAAAACAGGTTAAAACGTCTGAACTATACACAGCGCCAAAGATATTATGGTCGGTTATAACTCATTTTGTATCATATTTCCGTTGTTGCTGTTCTTCATAGCGCTGATGACAACATCTATAAGGCAATAAATTGATTTGTACTGCCATAAAAAAAGCAGCTCTTTGCAATGCAAACATTGTTTTCTCCAGGCTATGCAGGTCAGTCAGTCATACTCTGTTTTGGTAAACATTGACGGTGTCTCCGATTTTTCCACAGTAATCTTTGAATAAGATTACCTCTTGAGACGATATAATGATTATGGTGGTGCCGCCAGAAATTGTCTGGTTAGTGAATGCTTCTTTCGTAGGGCCTCAGTAATAATGTACCCTAACGAAATTCAACGTCTAGTATGACATGTTGTAGTCTTAGAGATGTAGCATTAATATGCATGAGTATTTTGGCCCTGCATAAAAATCAGTTATCGTTTTTTGTCCTTTATGCAAAGAATCAGATTTCATTCATGCCATAACTAGTGCCACGAACTGACAAAGGTACTTCAGGTTGTTGATTCTGTGGCCACTGTTACGCAGATAAGTTTTTGAACGTTTCAGGGTTCATGGCGCCAAACACTGCGGGTGGTAAAACAATTTATTGCCGATGCGAACACTGCATAGGTCGTAGCATCATCGTGACTAGTTTAAGTATAAATCAAGTTTTGTAAATCCTGAGTGATGGGTTTTAAGAAAATCGCTAATTTTCACAAAGCGTGAGCGAAAACGATTTGTCTAAAAATGCTTCTATGAAGTCTCGAAAACGAATAAATCTAAGGTGGACTATGGAGGAGTTTGTAATTTTGATCTGTTTTGACGACGTTTTTATTATCTTGTGCGGTTGCTCGCATTTTCCGTACTCCAGTGATAAAAGCATCTCTCATCATCTAAGAAAGTTTTGTTTGCTGTAGCTGTTAGACCCATTGTGGAGTTGTGTAAAACTTTGTGCATGTTTAGCTCAGTTTTATCAGGCAATATTCTTCGTATGTGCCCTACTCAACGGTTATTTATGGTGGGATCCGTGATGAAAGTACGCCTATTTCTAATCCATGCACATTCATTTTAGACGTCCGTCGTTCTGTGATCAGAACTGCTTATGTTCGGTCACAGAGACCTGGCGGTATATCAATGCCTTGAGCGCGCTCAGTTCTTGAGCGTGATTCATGAGAGGCAGTAAATCGAACGAGAGTTGAATATTTCACGAAGTATTCATAGTTGCGATTCTTACAGTTTTAATCGAACGGATACTCAACTACTTATTTTAATAGATAAGAAACTTAGGCGATTATTCAAAAAAGAAACCATCAGATGAAAATGTTCGACTCATTCATTGGTATTAAGAGACAAATGCAGATGTTTGTGAATTTTCACTTATTGGTTTACTGTAATCTTCATCTTCCGTGACCGCTTCTACTTTTGGGTCGCGGGGAGTTTCCGAGACGACTTGCTGGCCATGCGCGTCTCGACATGTCCGTAATACAGGCATCTGCTAGAGCGAGAGAGAGCTATTACTGTTTTATGTGATATTTTTAATTATGATGTTCGCCGTAAATAAAAAATTATATTGCGCATTTGCTGATAATTTTGGTAACATATTCATGATCTTCCAGTGAGGTTTTTGTGTCCTTTCGGGTTATGACGTAAGGAAAGGCATTCGATTTGTAATCATCGTTCATAATCTCGGTTTTTTTGTTTGGCCTCTCCCAATCAAATCTTTTAACGTTTGTTTTCAACCTCATTTTGCATTGTTAAAGCTTCTTGCTTCCCCTGTAAGGAAGTCCCTCGTTGCTTGGTTTTTGATCAGGCAGAATTTCATTACTCTTTTTATCATTATAGATAGGACTTTTGTCTACTGTGATCAGCAGCTTCCTTGATAGCATTTAATTGCTAAAGAATCCGATATAGTTCTTAATTAAACTTTACATAATACTTAGCAACTGGACAATATAAACCTGATGGTTCATGGTATTTATTAGTAACAGTACTGGGTAAAAATAATTGCTATTTTCCAAACGTTTTATTTTTTAACAAATTAAATATATTTCAGCTTGTCAGCTCCTGTGCGTAGACGGGTAAACGCTTTGAAGCGTCTGCAGATGGCATCGGCTGAGCTTGAGGCTGAGTTCTACCGAAAAGTACATGAACTGGAGTGTCTGTACGCGGCAAAGGCAAAGCCTTTATGCGATAAGGCAAATCAAAATGCCATGATTTTCAGAAGAATCACAAATATTTCGATTTTTAGCGTGCCAAGATTGTTACTGGGGAATACGAGCCAACAGATGAAGAATGCGTGCCGGTTGTGCAGGAGCTGGAGGTTAGTGTCGTATTTCTTATTTTGTCTAATCTTATGTAGCTGATTCTAGAAGGACGTGGAAGAGAAGATGAACTTGGATACCCAATCAGAAGAAGCTGCGGAAGGTATTTTGATTCATTAAGTGATTGCTACAAAAGTATAACGTGAAGAGGCGACATAACTCATGTTTTGCAGCGGAGACCGATGTTAAAGGAATACCTGAATTTTGGCTAACTTTGTTGAGGAACGTTGATATGATTGCTGAATGGATTCAGGTAAGATTAGCATTAATCGACTATTGATTTCTAAAATATAAGTGCTGTTAATAAAGCATGAAATAACAGTGCTGGGAGTACTGTATTTCAAGAACCATGTGTGGATATGTAAGAATTAGGAGGTTTGGTATTTTACTCCTGATCTGCTTAGACTTCATTCGTACTTCGTGTTCCATGCTTCTAAGGGAAAGCATAAAAACGCAAAGAAAACAATTCACGGTGCTCCATGGTCTTTTGAAGCCATGTTAGCGCTGCTTCGAAGGGATTTTCCAAAAATTGCTATCCGTCGGGTAAGCTTATTAAGGGGCTGGATTCCAAAATGGGCAGAATCTCATGTATAATCAAGCTGCCTGGATTGCTGACTGTCACCTATAAGGCTATGTGTGATGATCTAATATGTATCTAATACTCATTATAATCGAATATATGTCAAAGTATCTGTCCGTTCATACTACCCGGTAAAATCTGCACAAACGGGTTGAAAAGGTGATTTTAATGAGTATTAGTGAAGATTTGGGGCGAGCAATGTAGCTTTCATCCCGGTCATGTTCTTTTCTCTCCTCCAAGTGTAGGAGAAACGCTCGGAATATGCCTGTTTAATTGATCTGAAAAAGGCTGATGATAGAATGCCTCGTTCAAGATTAGTTTTTCTAAACATAAAGTAGATAGATTGTAGTAGACAGCGAATGGGACCGTAAAATTCCTATACCGTTTTTCTGAGATCTGTGCCCAACGTAACCCCAGGAAGGCGGGGCGTTTCGAGGTGATTGTATGCGTCGTTTTTCTCCAGTTTATAATTATTATCATTTGGATCAATAATTAAAACTATTAACAGCAACTAATACCATAAGGATTTCCGGCAGCCGTTTTTATAACCTAAATGTCACACAGCATTACAGATTTCGATGTATACGGTTGAAATGGTATAAATTAGATGACGTTCGCTGTTACTACGAAGGTAATATTCGTAATATGATGCAGGTTTACTTCCACCACGTGTTTTCAAGTTTTTTGCTATCCTGAAAGATTTCTATGCCCAGTGAGTGGTTCTCGCAGGAAGATGGTTTCGATGGATTCCCATTGTCTGCTTATCGCTCTCATTGATCCAGAGCAGTTGCCGGTCCCCTGACGAATTTATTTTAATTCGACTAGTCCTTAAGTCTGATTTGCTTCCTTAGACGTTTGTTGCGTCAGCAAATGTTTCACACTTCTCGTTTTGGTTGCTGATTTCTATGCTATCATGTAAATCGAATCATTTGAATCTCTGCCGAGCATCATTATCCCATTACAGTATTCCCGCCATGTTTCAAATCGTACTTGAGGGAAACGAGGTTGTAAAATTGTTGATGAAATATCTTGCTTCCAGACTAAGATTTAAGCATTATTCAAAACAATATCAACATTTTTATATTCAACTATTGAATTTGATCTAAACTGTTTCGGATTGATACCATTTAAGGAGCACGATGAACCCATTTTAAAACATCTCACTGATATCGAGCTTCTGATGGAAAACGAACCTATGGTAAAATTTTCGTTATTTGCTTATTTATGTTTAGTTTTTGTTACGTTTAGAGTTTCACGCTTATTTTCCATTTTTCTCCGAATGAATTCTTCACCAACCAAACGCTCACCAAAGTTTATTACCTTAGCTGCAAACTTGATCCCGAAGATCCGCTTTCATTCAATGGTCCTGACATCATTAGTTGCAAAGGGTGAGGCAGCCTTTAAACCTTAACGGTTTACCGCTTGTTGATGTTAACATTGTTAGTTTGACGACTTAATCTTATCGTTTTGCTGCAGACCCTTTGTAGTTGCCGGGCTTCATTATAAATCAGTTTCTACGGTTTCGATCTAGTGCCAGTTATACGTAATTTTTTTGATTAGTGATTTGTTTGCGCCAAACGGAGACGAACAAACAAGTATAAAGTATTATCGACGAGCTTTGCTATCATATCGGTAGCCTCCTTATAATGCAAATCGTTGTGGTGTCTTACGAATACTTTCCATATAGCCTTTTTCACTGTAGTGATGTTTGTAGACAGTGGCTGGGGATGCTTTCAAATTTTCTAGTTCTGTATTCCTCAGTTTGCATTACCACAACTGATATCAATCTTTGATGCCATTCTTCTAATTGCTTTTGTCTCTGCTATGCTATCTATAGATACCTATCCCTCGATTGAGAGTAGTTGTTTGTTTCGTGAAACTGTTCGCACTTTGAGAAATCATAAATGCGGTTACCATTAATTTAAACGCAAAATATGCAGAACAGTCCTAACTCCCGGAAAAATCACCCAGCCTTTTTATCATGTGTCAGGATGTTATATAGAATATTGTAATACATTTTTTATAGAATATGTTACAATCATGAAAAATTGCTATAAGCCTAATTTCACGGTCTTCTCGTTTCTTACGGGATTGTTCCACATTGTTTCTTCGTTACACAAATTATTTTAGCCTTGGATTAAAGTTGTCTCATCCTCTGTCTAGGAATAGTTTCTTATCTAGTTCCGTTTTAACCCAATTTTCTATCTGATCAATTGTTACTCAATATTTATGCCTTGCGTGTACTATAATTTTATTGGCCTCCGTTTTAAATAATCAAATCTTTTTAACGTACTTCTGATTCTAAAATAAATATTGATCTATCATTTATTTCATAATTTGATTAACAGAGGTTAAACTAACGGATCTCTTCGGTTTAGGTGCAAGATTGATTGGAAACCAGGCCACAATGTTACCGTCAAGCTGATCAAAAAGAAGCAGAAGCAGAGAAAGGGAGGAGCGACTAGATTTGTGACAAAGGAGATCAAAAATGAGTCATTTTTCAACTTTTTCGATTCTGCCAACGTTTACAGTGGTCGTTTGCTGGATGAAGTGGTAATTCAACTTTTTATTCCCCATGTTTTGCTGTTCCACTTATGGACGTTCGTTTCGTTTTAAGGACGAAGAAACTCAGGAGATGATGCATAGTGATTTTGAAATCGCTCAGATTTTCCG